TACGATGCGTCTACACTCCATCCCCATATCATTGGCGTTGACTGGTCCGAGGTCGATCTTGTTCGCCTGTTTTCGGCGTCTTGACGCCCGCGCAATGCGAGCTTGTACCTCTGCACTCGCCGAGATATAATAGTGTTTTTTGTTGCGAAAAGTGTGGCCCGTTAGGGGTACGCTTTTTGTTTTGTTTGGTTTAGTACGGCTTTTCATACTCTACTAAACATACTCTTTGAAGTTTAGTATGGCTTCCTATACTGTACTATACTATCACTTTAGTATAGCTTCTCATACTCTACTAAACATACTGTTGCGTTTAGTATGGCTGCCCATACTCTACTCAGGCCATAGTACAGCCCGCCATACTCAACTCAGAGTACGTACTACTCGACGTCAGAGTACGTACTACCTTCCACCAAAGGGTGTGTTGTTGACGTCACTATTCAGCAGAAAGTAGACAGTCTCGCCGCACAGAGTGGTGGTGGGCTCCAGGCTCCGATACTCGCGCCCTCGCGTACTCAGATACTGAGGTACTGAGGTAGTGGCCCGCAGGGGAGATAGTGGCAGCTGAGCATGAGTGACGCGAGCGGTGGTTCGGCCGCATCTGCTCCCGATGCGGGTGGTTCTCCCGGTACGAGTACCCTCGCACCGGGTTCTTCAACACAAGACGCGCAACAAGACAACGAGGTGGTCGTCGTGCCGGGCTCAACGAGTGGAGGAGCGCCACAGCAGTCAGTGAACGTCAAGCGTCCCGCACCGGTCTNGGTGGTTCGGCCGCATCTGCTCCCAATGCGGGTGGTTCTCCCGGTATGAGTACCCTCGCACCGGGTTCTTCAACACAAGACGCTCAACAAGACAACGAGGTGGTCGTCGTGCCGGGCTCAACGAGTGGAGGAGCGCCACAGCAGTTCATGTTTATGTTTATCATGCAATCAAATCAACGCTTGTACGGAGTAGTTGTTCTGTCAGTTTTGTCAGTACATGTACTGTACTAAGCGTACTGTGGTGTTTAGTATGGCTCTCCATACTGTACTAAACATACTGTGGCGTTTAGTACAGCTCTTCATACTGTACTAAACATATGTGGCGTTTAGTACAGCTCTTCGTACTCTACTAAAACTTTTGTAAGTACGGCTCTTCAATACTCTACTAAACATCTTTTTGAGTATAGTATGGCTTTTCATACTCTACTCATACTTACTTTATAGTATGGCTCTTCATACTCTACTGAACATACTCTTTGAGTTTAGTACCTAACCTCTGTACTCTACCCAGGTGAGAAGAGTATTCACCTCTCTCATACTCTACTCTACTCAACCGTTAGTACAGATTCTCGATACTCTACTAAACATACTCTACTGTAC